GAGGGTAACTGCTTGACAATGGGGCACAGGCAGTCATTCCCTGGGCATTCAAGAGCTCCAGAGAAATGAAACACTTGCCACCCTCAGGGAGCCCCAGCCTGAAGGGAGACCATTGTTCCTGCCCAGTGGTTTATAGGCAGGTGAGACACAGAGGACCCCAGGATGCTTAGGGCTATTCTGCCACATTTAATTAGTCAGAAGTCCAGCCCACACATGAGAAGGGACATACTGGCCATCTCTGGGGGTGATGGACTGTGCCTTTTTTGTGAGATGAGTGTAGGTTTCTAATAACATCAGAACAGAGTAAATATAAAGTGAGCTCTTCCCAGAAACAAATACCCAGTTAAGACGAATTTCTTGGAATGAACGATTTGTCAAGAATAACGGTGTTTATATCTCACAGATCATCTGAGGGCAATGGAGCCAAAGTTGTGCAATGGCACAGGTTATTTTCTCCTCTTGGGCACAAATAAACAAACCCCACGCCTGAAGCAGTGGTGGCGTGCCCTGCGTCTGTAAGTATTGCACAAGACGCAACTGGCAGTTCAGCACCAGGGACACTCTTCATCGCTGGACAGTCCTCTTTCTTCCTTAGTGACGTTTATTGGTATTTGCTGAAGATGCCACAAAGGAAGCGGGCAATGATACTGCCCCAACGCTAGGAAGCAGTCTGAAAGAGGATGCCACACCGATTTGTATAAAAAAAAAAAAAATGCTGAGGTAAAACCAGTGGAGATCCAACTGTCACTGCATGATCCCAACGCATAGCTAAAATAGTTTCTAAAATTAAGAACTCCTAGCACACATCACATTATTTTCATTAACAAGCAAAATCCCGGTAGTTTTCTACATACGTGCACCTGCAAGGCTGCAGGAAACTAATGTCCAAAGCCCGAGAGCCAGGCCTCTCCCAGGTTGTCATTTTCCCTCACTGAATGGGTCATCTGAGCCTGCACACACCAAGAACTACTGTGTTTCCCCGAAAATACCTAGCGCAACTTTGGGAGAGAAAATTAATATAAGACACCGTCTTATTTTCGGGGAAATAGGGTAGCTATGTCTTCCTGTTTGGGAAGGCAGGCAGGCAGCCAGATCCCTGCTTTCTCATAACTTCCATCCAGGAATGGACTTCGAGGGCTCTATTTTTCCGCTATACACAAATGTGTGCAGTTTCATTATGTGAATTTTAAAGACTCAATACCTACATTTTCAAAAGCAATGATCACTGCTGAGGTGAGCTGCTTATCTTAGCACCTCTTATAACCAGTCTCTTTAATGTCATTTGGCAGGCGTGTGTAGGACCACCCTGAAAGTCACTTAGATCCCAAAAGCCACTTCTCACTAGTTTCCTATTCCAGAATGAATGTGTTCTGTAAGCAAGCTGTGGTCCATTTCCCTATACTGGCTTTTCATATGTAGTTCCAATCTTGACCTTGAACTTCACTTGAGGACATTCCTAACCCCAGCGCGGCCTACCCAGAACTAAAGGGATAAAGTGAAGCTGACAAGTCAAAGCATCGTCTTGCTTTATCAAGGGTACACCATGTTAAAAATTAAATGACTCATGCCAAAACCAGTTTGGCTCAATGGATAGAGCGTTGGCTTGCGGACTAAAGGGACCCGGATTCGATTCCGGTCAAGGGCATGTACCTTGTTTGCGGGCATATCCCCAGGGGGGGGGGGGTGCAAGAGGCAGCTGATCGATGACTCTCTCTCTCTCCCTTTCTCTGTACAAAAACTATAAAATATATTTTTTTAAAAATTGAATGACTCATTATTCCCTGGTGAGAAATGGGCAGCCAGGGACAGGTGACCAGACAGCACTGTCAAGTATAGAACTTGGAATCTGAGAAACAGGGCTCATTCCATTCCTGCATCTCAGCAACAAGACCTGAACCGCAAATTTTCTCATGTGGAAAAGGGTCAGAATACCCACCTTGCAGTGATATGTGAGGACTGAAGGAAGCCACTTAAGGGACGATGCTTACTAAAGTTTATTCCTAAATCAGCAGCAGAGCCAGAATGTGCACAGCTTTTACTACCTGGTTAGTCTCTGGCCCCTACCTGCTGCTTAAAGAATCAAGTAAAATCCTTTGTCTAAAAGTTTTCACCAGATCCATTATTTTTCCTGCAGTGGAAGCCACTAGAAGCATGGGAGCCTGTGGTTACAGCAAGGAAATCTACCGAGGAGAGGGTGATTAGTCAGGAGCCGGATCCAGGAATAAGGCCAGACTTGCTCTTCTCATGAAGGAGCCTAAGCAGCTGGGATTCTTTCGTGCAGATAAAAAAGGAGTCAGAGGGGATGGACCATTTTTCTGAAAGTTTAACACTGTTCCTGTGATTTAAACCAGAGAAATCTTCCTTTTACAGCAGGTCCTTGAATGACACCATTTCATTCTGTTATTTTGTTGTAAGTTGAGAGATGAGGCAGGAACTTAACTTTGTTTACATCCATTAGCTATGATACAACTGGTTTTGGTAACATAATTTCACTTAAAGGCACAGAACCTATTGATGTTGAGTGAGAAGTTACTGTATCCAGATGAAAAGAAAGGGGGGTGACAATCAGTAGAGGTTGGAACCCAGACTGTGTACAAGGCTTCAAGTGTTTGACCTCTCACCATTCCAATCCCATGGTCAATGTTACCGACTTCAATTGTGTCAAAATGTGAAAGCATAATTTCCCTTTGATGCAAATATCTAGAACAGTGAGATTTGGGCACACAGCATATACTAAGAAAAATATTAAGCATCATTTTATTTAAGATTCTCTTCCTGCCACCTCCCACCCCCAAGTGACACACAAAGGAGGACCCTTAGCTGCCTGCAGGGATGTGTTCTCACCACCACTGGCCATGGTGAGCAAAACCACCCCAGCAAATACAAACCCACCCTCCTCCTTTCCATCATAGAGGTAAGTGCCCAACCTCCCTTCCCCTGTACTGGGTAAACGCTGCAGGAAAATAGGAAAATAGAGCTACTTTCAGGAATCTAGCAACCCGAGAGTCAATGATGAGAGGTGCTACAGCTCACTACTGGCTAATGAGCCTGGAGATGAGAAGGAAACACCTATTCCCACCTTCCCACAAGCATCCATTAATTGTAGACCATCTATCCTAACTCCCTACTGATTCATTTACCCTTGAAAACAGAGGAAAATGAACTTAATGAAAAAAATGAATAATACTGACTAGTCCTTGCTACACATACCTAGTAGTTGGAACCAAAGGAAGGCAGAGAATTCATCCCACCACCTGGACAAGTTCAGAGTAAGCACACCCTCTGCAGATAGGCTGCGTCCCAGAGAAAAGACACCCCACAGCCACAAACCACGTCCCTCGAAAGTTGACCGCTAGAGAAAACAGATCCCAAGTGCATTTCCTACCAGCAGCAGGTGAACTGCACCATCTCCGGAATAAGAGCTTCTGGGTGAGACAGACTTAAGCAGAGAACATGCTTTATTGAGTAGATATAGAACAGCACATTCTACCACAGGTGGGGAGGGGTTAGCTTCACTGAAAGGCCTTTACCCTTTAAGAGAGCCCCCAGTGAAGTTGCTTTTGGATAAATTTTAACAGTGACACTGAAATTGGCAGGGAGCTGCCACTGAACATGCTTAAAATGAGCTCCCCCAACCCACAGTGAATAGTAAGTAGTGTACAGAGATGACAAGAGAAAGGCACAAATGACCAGAGAGTCGGGATGGTGGCGAGGGCTCTGCACGAAGACAGCAGTGTTATAGGCGATCAGGTTGGGACGGGTGACATGTCAGACATCAAAAGCTGCCCCCAAATAGCAGGTTATAATGGGCCAGAGAGACATTAGAGGGAGCATTTCTTCCTTCACTTACATACCACCAAACAGAGGAGGTCAGAGAAGAGGGGGATGGTGGCAAACCCCAAAAAGGAAATGGAGTTCTTGGATGAGCGTAACCACGTTAGCCTAGAGGGAGGTGAGGCTCTGTGGGACAGAGAAGCAAACATGGACGGGGTGGCCATTCTGCCTGGTTGAGTCATGGGTGGAAATACTTCTCAATTAGTTTCCACTTCTCGGAGGATGTTCAGACAAAAATCAGTGCAACTTATGTGGAAGTGAAGGTGTGCTATAGCAGACTGGTACTGGTGAAAATGGTTTTGCAGTTAATGAGCCAGTTAACATACAGCATAAAAGGGAGAACTGGAAATTATTTTGGCACCTGCAAACATAAAAAGGGGCATGGAGTCAAGAGGGAAGAAAACGTTTACCGTTGGGCACTTTCTGGTGAGGCCAAAAGCATTCTTTCCCTTCCACCAAGACATGGCCCGCTGCCCACAGGTGAACTCAGCACAGAATCACCACCTCTCCCCTCTCCATCTCATTCAGAGAGATGACATGCTGTTCTCAAGACTAATCCCTGGGTGAAGCTTCAAAAGCATTTGGCTCTGGTCAGCCTGATACTGATAAAAACAAGTCATTCCATAAAAAACGGAGGACAATATTTAAAGTGAGATGAAATCCAAAAGGAATGGACCCCTCCCAGCACACATACTTCAGAAGTGTCACCTCTTCCCTGCCCGTCCAAAAACCACATGTGAGGAATAATTGGAAAGGTCCCGGCAGTGGCAACTATATTTGGAGGTCTGGCGACCAGGCGGCAAGAAGCACTATGACAAGTTTAGAAGACACGACACAACCTCATGGGGCTAGAGAACATGAGGACAGAACCGGTGACTGGACAGGTACAGTACCAAACAGAACACCTTGGGTCAGTGCTATGAGGGACCTGCACTCAAGTCTAATATAGATCCCATCCGGGCAACCTCACTGAGGCCGAAACAACAGTTCCTCAGAACCAGCGTCTGCAGTGTACATGAAGGTCGGAGCCAGGACAGTCCTGAGGGGATGGCCTTCCCAAAGGATACTGTACTTGCCAATCACAAGAGCAACAGAAATGACAGACAGATCCCTAGGGTACGGATTCCTACTGCTGGGGTTCGCTGGCTCAAGAGTAACAGGTCACTTTAAGTGCCCTTGGGAGGGGTCCATTTTAAACAGCTGGGATCCATGGTTTTATTGGAATTGGATCTCTTGGCCTCTTTGGCTATCCACTCATCAATCAAGTCCTAGAGGAAAAAATGGAAAAAATTACACACATTAAACTAAAATGGCATTATATATAATTCCAACATGATTGATAGCAAAGGAATCACCAAAGGTTTAATAACATACTAAGGTGTAAAAAATTATCTTTAATTTACAAAATGCTTTACCACCTAATCCATTTCTTCCTACTATAGCCTTAGTAATAGCTGAAAATCATTATTCATCCTCCCTAATTATATACTTATAAATGAGTCAACTAAAAATATTTAAAATGGCCCAGATTATGTGGCTCAGTGGAAAAGCATCAACCTATGGACCAGGAGGTCACAGTTCCGTTTCCAGGGCACATGCCGAGACACAGGCTCGATCCTTATTTGGGGGACAAGCAGGAGGCAGCCAATCAATGATTTTCTCTCATCATTGATGTTTCTATCTTTCTCTCCCTCTTCCTTCCTCGCTGAAATCAATAAAAAAATATTTTAAAAAAGTTAAACATGGATTTGAGATGGCTTTCTGGAAGGAATTTAAAACTACTTTCACAAGCCCTGGATTTTATTGATTCCCCTCTACAGATGAGTCATTTTCTCCAATCTAAGAAAATTATTGAGTAACAGAAGTGTTGTACAACATACAGCTGCTTAACTAGTGCCATCCAAATGAGACAGGAGCTTACCAAAGCTTCTGATAAGATAAGCCAATGGAGGCATCCTTGCACGCTAAAGAAATGAGTCCATATAAAAAGGTTCATATAGTCAAACTCCTTTAAGAAGGGACGGTTACATTCCCTTAGGGCAGTGGTTGGCAAACCGCGGCTCACCAGCCACATGTGGCTCTTTGGCCCCTTGAATGTGGCTCTTCCACAAAATATTACATGTGGGCGTGCATGTACAGTGCGATTGAAACTTCGTGGCCCATGTGCAGAAGTTGGTTTTTGGCCTGGGCAAGTCTATTTTGAAGAAGTGGAGACACTCAAGGGGCCAAAGAGATGCATGTGGCTCTCGAGCCTCGGTTTGCAGACCACTGCCTTGGGTTATTAAGGCCCCACTTTGCTCTTTAGGCTTCCAGGAACATTCATTAATGAGCAAGCAGGTGATAAAAACTGACCTGTCTCTTTAAAACTAGGTGTTTTCCTTTCCAATACTTGAGCATCTGAAGGGCTTGCAGAGTGCTGACAATGTCCACAGGATTCACAGCTGTCTCCTGGCTAATTTCTGAAATAGAAGACCAACTAAGAACCTTGCCAAATGCAGACGCCCTAAACAATCTCCCTCCAAGAGCCCTCCCCCTTACAGGAGGTGCAAAGGGCCTCCAGATGGTTGGAGCATTTGATACTCAACCCAACCTGCTCAGAAAAAGTTTATGAAGCATTATTTGACCGATCCAAATAACTACAAAAGATAGACATTACACCAAGAAACCATTCTTGGCCCCTACAGAAATCAAGTTCTAAGACCCATATTCTGTGGGCCTTCTGTAAGGTCCAGATAAAACACAGAATGGGGCATTATCTTTGTAGGTTACAAAGCATGAATAGGACCAGGTGGAAAAGTTAAAATATTCAGTGGAGTGAACATCTTGGGTAACAACCATTCTAGAGTAAAAAACCAACCTTTGATAGAAATCTCTTTGCCTTGGAAATTATGCAGATAACGAAGAAGCACTTCTTTCCAGTAACTGCGATAGCTTATGAGCCCCAGGTCTGAGAGCGGACGTTCTGGGGAGCCAACTTTTTCTTCCACTTTGGAAAGCAAATAACCTGCCAGGGAACAAACACAGGCTTTTTTAAGCAACTCCATATCTCATGTTCACAGAAAAGAACAATGTGCCAATACGGAAGTTATATGGAAGTACTCTGCAGTATCCATTAGATTCATTCAATGGAATACTATAATATATAGCTTTTGTAGAGTATAGTATGCTGCCTTTGTGTAGCAAAAGGGCAAGAATGTGTATTTGCATTAGCTATAAGACACTGAAAATTTCTGAAAAGCTAATATAAACTTTAATAGCAATTGTTATCTGTAGGTGCATAATTTGATGCACATCATATTTCTCTATAATGTACATCAAATCCTTTCTAGACAGTATTTTAGCACTAGGTTAGGCACCATTTAAAATCAGCAACAAAAACATGAAAAAGTGACACTAACAGACCATAGAAAGAACACTTGATTATACTGAGAGCTGAAACAAGGCACCTTGACCTCAGGTGGAAATGCATGGTGACTTTCTTGGTGCTACACACATATCCACAAAGGACAGCAAAAGTATTGCTGCCAATATTCTGCCAAGAATATTGATTTTGGGGTTACAAATAAAGTTCTAGTTCTAAGAATAGTAGGCAAATTCCCAAATACAGAAGCCACAATTAATGATAAGAAGCCTCTATCAGGTTTACAGGCTGCCTCTTTGAGCCCTTACAAAACTGAAATCCCCAACATTCCCGAACAGATTTGATGTCTTATGCATATACTGTCTGTTCATAAATCTCAAGCTGGGATCATCCTAACAACCTTGCTTTATTCTCCTCTATAGCTCCTACTATCAGCTACCAAGCTCAGGGTCCTGTATTCAATGTGTACCAGACCAACTGATGACATTCAGATTTTGCCGACTTGCTCATTCACTTAATATCAGCATTCATGGGCCACACACCAGGAGTTGTAGAGACCGCAGGACAAAAAGACAATATTCACATGTTCCCTGCCATACGGAGCTTAGCAGTTTCACTTACTGAAATCAATGAGCATCTTGCCGTAGCCCTGCCTCATGTACTGAGGCATAGTAAGGATACAGGATACATTGTAGTTGAGGAATGAATTCTTCTCCTAGAATCAAGAGCAAACAGATGAGCAGGTCATACGGGTTTAAAACTAAAGGTGTCAGCAGTCCCACAGATACAAAATAAGGCTGCTTGCAAAGTATCTGGCTAACCAGTCCTGGGAGTGGCTGTCCGCTCACAGCTGTTACTCTCTAGGATGGCCAAAGCCATTAATCCCAGGGTTTCCCCAGCTCTGTGACCTCCAGGCTCATCTTAAGGGGGCTGACTCTGGCTCTTTATAGCCACAGAGCGGGGCCAAAAGGATTAGACTGACGAGTCAGGCTAGAGCAGCTCCCTTCAAAAGCAATTTTTCAAAAGGGGGCTGGGGCTGACTGCCTACTGGTGAAGGGAGAGATCCCAAACAGTAAGTCCCCATTTTGGAAGGAAGTCAAAAACAATCTAATCATATATGGTAGGATTCCACTTATGCAAAATGTCTACAAGAGACAGAAGAGCTGGGAGGGGTGGAATGGAAATGGAAAGTGTTGTTATGGGTACAGGCTTCCTTACTGAGGTTGTGAAAATTGCACAACTCCGTGACTACACTAAAAATCAATGTACACTTGAAATAAGTGACTTGTATGGTATGGGAGCTATATTTTTAATAAAAAGTCATAAACACATTCTGGCTTTGAGTCTTAAAAGGCACTGTGGCATTATCATGGAAAGAAGCCAATGTTTTTGTGTTCTTTTTCCCCAAAAAATATGGCAAAAGAAATATACTCCTGGTTTCGAGCTATAATAGTAACATAGAAGAGAGCAAAGCCAGGAGAGGTGGCTTGACTACACGTTGTGGGCTTGTGGGTTGGTAGGCAGGGCTCTGGCTGGTAATTAATAGGTATTTCCAACCCATAAGTCCAGAAATGAAAAAACCAGAAGCTTTTAATAAAGAATGGCACATTTTCATTAAATAATCTTGGATATGGATTTTCCTTTTTTTAAAAAGGGAAGGGCTGTCATCATTATCCAGAATATGACCTTTTCCTGCCAGTGATTTGCATTCCCATGTGCCAACATCAATCACCCTGCTCCAACCATTAGCTTCTTAATCTCCAGATCCTGCTGACCTTGGAAAAATATCCAATCAGGTGACAGCCAGTGTTGTCCGATTCTGTCATAACATAGAACAGGAAGGGCTCCACATCATAATATAATGTTTTGTGGTCCAGAAAAAGCTTGGCTAACAGGCAGAGGTTTTGGCAATAGATCTGGAAGCAGAAAAACAGAGTTCATGTGTGAGCCAGTGACTCCTAAACTTATCAGATAAAGGCCTAAAATTAAAGATCAAACCATTACAGTTAATGAAGCAGGAAGTGTGTGTTTTGGCCAACAGAAGAGTTCTATCTTCTTTACAAGGTGAGATGGACACAAAACAAATTCCTTCTGAAACCTGTTAATGTACAACCACCCCACTTTCGTAGGTCACCACTTTTTTTTACCTTGTTTTTCTTGCCATCCACTTCAAACACGGATATCGAACCTTTGCGATATATCTCATCACCAGGTGGGTGTTTCCACACACACTTGGCCTGCAAGAGATGGAACTGACATCAGGGGAACAAGCCTTCCCAGCAAGATTGCTGCTCAGAAGCAAAAAGAACTACAATTGTAGTCAGCTGAGATGACAGATAGCTGAACACACTGAGAACATGCAGCAAAACAAGATTTGTTCAGTATAACAACCTATGGCTTCTAAGTCACTGTCATATATTTATGATATTTTCTAGCAGTTTGGAATAAGTTTTCTGGATTATATTCTGGCATCGTTTCAATCCAAGAGATTAAAACCATCTACTACATGAAAGCCAGATAAATAAAAATAGCCTTGCTTATTAGAAAATGCCTCGCAACAACAGGAAATCCTTAAGCAGCTTATTTCAAGCAGCTTAGAGTTATTAAGATAGAAGTACTTTACTTTCACCTTTACCCATAACTTCTCTGGTTGCCCCCAAGTATCCCCTTTGTTACGTAAGGAAATAGGAGCAAATCCTTCTGTTAAAAAAAAAAAAATGTGTGGGGGGGAAGCAAGGCAGCCTGGTTGAGCAGCAGGAAGCTGGGCAGACTGGGGTGGAGGGTGGCCCCCTGCAGCGCCGGAAGGGCACTTGGCCACAAGGGGGCACAAGATACCCCTTTTCCTTACTCTCAATCCTTAATAGATTTAAAGCAGCGTCAGCCATTGCTGTTTTCAACCTTTTCCATCTCAGGCACACATAAACTAATTACTAAAATTCCGCAGCACACCAAAATATATTTTTTACCAACCTGACCCAAAAAAAGGGTATAATTTTTTTAAAAAATACACTTGTTTATAAGAATTTCTGGTACCAAGAATTAACCAATCAGCTCTGGCTGGTGTGGTTCAGTTGGTAGGGCGCTGTCCAATGCACCAAAAAGGTTGCCCATTCAATTCTGGTCAAGTCACCTGCTGAGGTTCTCCTATGCTTAGGAGGGCTCAGTCCCTCATTGGGGGTGTTCTGGAGGCGGCTGATCAATTTTACACTCCCACATTTCTCTCTCCCCAGAAGTCCCTCCACCCCCTACCCCTGCTAAGAAAGAATTAATCAGATGCAAACTTATTATGCAACCTGACCAATAAGATGCAGCTCTATTATATGACCTATATATTTATGGTTTAAGACAGGGCATTCACAATGCACAGATGGCTATTGCGTTGCCAATCTAAGGGGAAAGATGTCAGTGCCTCTGACTAAATAGTCAATTATTGTATGTTTTAAAAAGTTCTTGCAGCACACCAGTTGAAAATCACTTCTGTAAATAGGTGAATTCTTGAAAGGTTTGATGTAAATACATTTAGAAAGCATATGTACCTACATATCCAGAACGTTTTCCATTATATTTTATTGTGACTTTTGGTCAACTTAAGAATCATGACCCGCCCTAGCTAGTTTGGCTCAGTGGATAGAGTGTCAGCCTGTGGATTGAAAGGTGTGGGTTTCAATTCAGGTCAAGGGCACACGCCTGGGTTGCAGGCTTGATTCCCAGTGGGGGGTATGCAGGAGGCAGCCAGTAAATGATTCTCTCTCATCATTAATGTTTCCATCCCTCTCTCCCTTCCTCCCTGAAATCAATAAAAAAATATATATTTTTTTAAAAAAGAATCAAGACCTAATTTGTCACATGCAAATCCAAATAGTAACTGGAATTGCTTTGAGAAAGTTCCATCTATAGTTTGTCCCTATTACCACCACCCCTTTACTCATGTGGCTTTTCCCCAAAACAAACACAATTATTTGTTTAGAAACAAAAACCAAACTGGACTCACCCAATTCAATGATTATGCCTGAAGCAATAGGAATCAGAAGTATGGCTTAAAGCAGGTTTTTATTTCCTAAAATCTTGTTTTTAGAATTCATATAATACAGTAGAGATCCTCAAAAAACCAGAATGTTTACATAACCTTCAGATTTATCCAGACCCTGTTTTCTCCACCTATTACTAGTTCTTGCCCCCTTTGGCTGTTTTACTGGTTAGTGTCAGTAAATAACCAGAAGCAAAAAGAAAAAAAATGGCAAAAATGGTAAGTAGTTCACATCAATAAAAGTATCAGTCTTATTTTCACATAGCAACACCATATTTTAGTTTGTCTCCAGGGTCTACAATCATGGAGATGAGTCCTTCTGATACTATCATCCCCTGTGCCCTAGTGTCCCCTCCCCACCAGGCCCATCACCTCCCCTCCAGCACTCTAGTCTCATCCCAAGTCCAGCATGCCAGCGTCTGAAGGGCTTCCTTCATAGGAGTGGTGTTGGGCCACGGTGCTACAGGTTGTATGCTTCAGAGTTGGAAACACACACAAAGTATCACCAAACTGGGGAGAAGAATGTAAGAACAGAAACCAGGGGAGCCTGGATTATGGAGGTTCACCATATGGAAACCTTGGGAAATAAAGATGGAAGGGGAAGGAGAGACACCCTAGAGCCAAATTGTTATGACTATAGAAAAAAGATTTTAAAAGAAACGTGGCTTACAGCTGCAAAATAGCTAATAAGCATATTTGTCAATAATAAAATAGGATTCAAGTCTTTATTTCCAAAAGAAGCATGTTCAGGGAAAAAAAAAAAAAGTACTTAACAACTTCAGAAGGTTCCAAGGACATCCCATTCTGTTAATGAAGTCTATTTTGTAAACTAAGGGCAGAGGTCATCCATATGCAAAGGAACAATGTAAAAGAGCGAGCAGCAAGGAAAAAAGACAGGGAGATGTGTATGATGAGATGTGGATAAAGACCATTGGCTGCTTTAAGAGCCAGCCAGCACCAGCCAAGCCACAGGCTTTGTACCACCACCCTAAATGTGGCTCTTGATTTCCTATGCCTTCATCCCATTACTGTGGACCACTGAGAGATGCTCAGATAATTGTCCATTAAGATGTATGTCAAAATGTAGAGATCCTATTGCTTATTACCAACGTGATCATTAACCCCAGGAAACATACCATGTGCCGGCGGAGTATCGTTTGGCTCTTCATGTACTTTAAACAGAATTCACACATGTAGAGCCGTCCAAGTCGTGCATATTCTTCAGGATAGGGAGAATGATACCAAGTATCAAGCTCATAGCGACCGAAAGCTATTGTTTTAATCATGTTGCTCCCCTCTGTGATCTGGCCTTGCAGCCTTAACTTCTCCTGTTAAAAAGAAGAAATCAGCAAAGGAGGTTTACAATTGTAGTTCACCTTTGAGCAATGTGGAGGGTTAGGGTCACCAACACCCCGCCCCATGCAGTTGAAAATGGCGTTTAACTTTTGACTCCACCAAAATATAAACACTAATAGTATACAGTGTTGACCGGAAGTATTATCAATAACATACAGTCGATAAACACGTTTTTAGTATGTTATATACTGTAGTCTTACAATAATTTAAGCTACAGAAGAGGAAATGTTAAGAAAACCATAAGGAAAAGAAAATACATTTGTAGTATTTATTGAAAAACATTCACATTTAAGTGAACCTGAAAAGTTCAAACCCATGCCAACTGTAATCACCTTCATTTTTGTAAACCTATGTGCATGCCATCATGCTAAGCTATGGGGAAAAAAAGACCCATTTGGCTTCTAAACTCATGAGAAACTAACTGAAGAGGAATGGCTACATGGCTCGGATAGTAAGGAAGGCTTATAGGTCCCGGTAAAAAACCAGCTTTTCTCCGCTACTTACCCAGAGGTCTCCTCTCTGGAACATCAGAGCAAGTCTCTGGTAAAATTGTGTTCGTACCAGTCTGAGCCAAAATGAACTCTAAAAGGCAATCTACGACTAATATAAACTCCCCACCTTTTATAAAACATTCTAAAATTAAACAGAAAAAATATCTAGAATGTGCTTTTACATATTTCTAGCCCTATATACATCTATGTGGCATATACCACCCTCTCAACCTAGGTACTTTAAAAAGTATTTCTGAAACATGGACAGTGAAACATGGACACTCTGAAATCTGAAGTCCAGGAAGCAGAAAATATGCTTGGCTATCTACCTCCACTCAGTGGCTACAGAATTTTTTTAAAAATATATATTTTATTGATTTTTTACAGAGAGGAAGAGAGAGAGATAGAGAGTCAGAAACATCGATGAAAGAGAATCATCGACCAGCTGCCTCTTGCACACCCCCCACTGGGGATGTGCCCGCAACCAAGGTAGATGCCCCTGACCGGAATCAAACCTGGAACTCTTCAGTCTGCAGGACGATGCCCTATCCACTGAGCCAAACCGGTTCCGGCAGGCTACAGAATTTTAAAGCACAATCGGACAGAGCATTGAGAAAGACTAGCCCTGATGCCGGAGTACTCCTAGAGAAAACCCGCAAAGCCGCCTAGCCAAGGCTAGCAAGCCCTGCCGCCTATAAAACTTTCCACAAGCGTATCAGAGGGTTTTTAAATGAAGTAGTCAATACAATTTAAAGAAACAAAAGAGAGAGGAGATTTACTTTACAGAGATCCCCTCAACCCATTTTATCAATCACTATTTTCATAAAGCAAACTTACTGAAAATTCTACCAATAGTACCAAAACTAAATGTTAACTGTTAATAAAAACCAGAATAGAAAACCAGCTTAATATGTAAAACTTGGATTTGTCAAAAGATTAACTCTAAAATGTCTGACAACAGCCTTTTCCATTATCCCTCTTCAATATTCGTTTTATTCTTCTTTTTTTTTTTTATAAAATATATTTTATTGATTTTGTACAGAGAGGAAGGGAGAGAGATAGAGAGTTAGAAACATCGATGAGAGAGAGTCATCGATCAGCTGCCTCTTGCACACCCCCTACTGGGGCTATGCCCGCAACCAAGGTACATGACCTTGACCGGAATCGAACCCAGGACCTTTCAGTCCTCAAGCCGAAGCTCTATCCATTGAGCCAAACCGGTTTCGGCTCGTTTTATTCTTTTATAGCAGCATTGAAGGGCTGAGGCACCCCTGAAAAGGGGAGTTCCGGTTTAAGAGTACCACAGGGGCTATCTCCCAGTCTACAGGTTCTCAGAATTGCAAATTGCTAGAGGCAAGGGGGCACCTATTGTTCTATCCAGCTAACCACCTCCAGCAAACAGGTCCCGTCAGGAAATGAGGTGAAGGGAGGAGGGGTGATGAATTTTAAATATGAATGGGAAGGGAAACAGTCTCCAAAAGAATAGCTGGGGGAAGGGGAAAGGGATTCAAGCAGCAAGGTACATTCATTCCCATCAAACCATCAGTCCTTTTTCTTGGGCGAACTGCTCTTCACAGCGGTCCTCAGTGATACTCACCAGGTCCTCTGAAGCCCGGGCTTGTGCCCTTCGGAAGAGATCCAAGTCATACTCGCTGGTCAGGTTTTCCAAGAGAGGTTCCCGAGTGTTCCCGTAGGTCTGCCTGTGTTCCTAGGAAAACCACGAGAGCGTGATAGTCTCTGCTTCTAAGAACATCATCTATTTCACTTCAATCGATGCCAAGCTTTCTTCCTAATGCCTACTCTATGCCAGGCACTACACTAGGCACCATGGATTTGGCAGGCATACTATTTATCAGGTAGGCTAATGCAGAAGATGCTCATCCTCCCCCTGGTGAATCTGGAAAAGGAAACGCTCCTACTACTTCTTCAAAAGGGAGTTTCCTTCTTCTCTTCTCTAAACAAGCACCTCCCGGATAAAACGCTATGCCTCCCCTTTGTCCCTCCAAAAATGTGCACCACAGTATAAACAAACATAACAAGCCCAAAAGCTCCACAGATTCCTGGAATCCTGAGATCTGAAAGAAACCTTGGTAGAAACTCCCTCATTTAGAAACAATACAAAACAAAAAAACAAATCTCAAAGCCTTAGAGTCCGAGATTTTAGATTGAAAGGTAAATCTGCAGGTAGGAAGGGTCAGGTGTATGAAACCGTGTTCTGTAAATTCTTTCCCTAGAACTTCTTCCCCATCATTACCCGTCCGCCCAAGGCGTATGAAAAACAAGCTGGCCCTTAGAAAAATAGCTTACTAAATACTAATCAAGAACAAGAGGAAACAGTCAGAAAATTAGAAATATTAAAAGAATCCAGTTTTAAACAAGTATCAAACCTTACCATGGCATTCGCTACAAGTATCCTTTCACTGGAAAGAAAGCCTACAAGAGAAACTTCCCTTTTAAACCTTTGATTCTAGCCCTTCCCACTCCATCCTAGACTCCACCTCCCACCCAGAGAATAGAAGATAATGGCAGTTAGGAGAAATGAATGGCTCGTCCCAAGATCAACATTTACAGATTTTACAGGTATATTAGCACATGAAGAAACCAGTCAACAGTACCTGTATGCCTAGTAAACTTTCTTAAGGTTAACCTGGGCCCACTTGATGTATATCTTTTTTAATTTGGACACATCTAAGTATTATTCTAGTTTTCATAAACTTTTTTTTTTTTAACTTAAAAAAATCCTACCCAGCATTTTCACCAGGAAGGTTGGGTCCAAATAACGTCACCTAAACAACTAGAAAGCAGATGTTTGTAAGATAAATTTCAGGAACTTTTGCTGCAGACACTCTTTCTACCTGTGTGATTCTTGGCGAATTAGCCCTCTGAACCCGTTTCCCATCTATAAAATAGGTGAAACACCATCCATCTTTGCTACAGATTATGGGAGCAACATAACCACAGTGCCTGGCACAAACACTTTATAAATGGCATTATGTATTACCATACCATTACACCTCTACCCAATTTGTAGATTAAAAACATTGAACAATACAACCTTGTAGGGTCCTTCCTCACAAATCCCACACCCCACACCTCACAACTCATCTAACATTCGTCATCTCCATTTATTCTTAAGGTCATTTTCAAGACAGTGAGGACTACCAAAAAAGTAAATACAGTTTGGCATATTTTTGTCTTAGTGAAGCCATGTTGACTGTCTAAGTCAGTGGTCTGCAAACCGTGGCTCTTTGGCCCCTTGAGTGTGGCTTCTCCACAAAATACCACTTGTGGACACGCACTGTTAAGTGCGATTGAAACTTCATGGCCCATACACAGAAGTCGGTTTTCGGGTCTCAAAAGAAATTTCAATCATTGTACTGATATTTGGCTCTGTTGACTAATGAGTTTGCCGACCACTGGCCTAAGTAATCACAAACCATACTTTTAATAATCTAAGGACTAAATAAGCAAACATTCCACCTCCATGAAATAATTAAAAAAAAAAAAAAAGAAACCCAGTCCTAACTGGTTTGGCTCAGTGGATAGAGTTGGCCTGTAGACTCAAGGGTCCCAGATTCGATTCCGGTCAAGGGCATGTACCTTGGTTGCAGGGGTGTGCAGGAGGGTTCTGATGGATGTTTCTAACTCTCTAGCCCTCTCCCTTCCTCTCTGTAAGAAAACCAATAAAATATATTTTAAAAAATATCAAAGAAAGACTGAGCGATCACATGCCAAGATATTAACAGTGATTTATATTTTGGAGGGTAATTTTTATTGTAATTTTTCTTCTCTTTTTTTTTTTTTTTTGTATTTTCAGTAGTTAAGTATTTGTTAGTAGGTTTATAATAAAGTAAATCTTAACTTAAAAAATAAAGTTACGCAAAATGTTTTAAGGTTTTTTTTATTGATTGACTGATTTTGGAGAGAGGAAGAGAGAGAGATAGACACATCAACTTGTTATTCCACTTATTTATGCATTCATTAATTGATTCTTATATGTGCTCTTACAGGAGATCAAACCTGCAACCTTGATGTATTCATCGGACAACAGACTTCTAACTAAGCTACTCAGCCCGAGTATACAAAAGTTTCTTGATGGATTTTTAATAAAAATGAGGAAAGTAGTTCAAGATATTAAAAAAACAGAATTCAAAGCTGAACTTATGGTAATAACCAAATTTTATAAATAAGGCATTATATAAAAAGCTAGGCTATATTCCAAAATGCTAGTAACTCTGGTTATTTTTTAAGTAGTAGGATTAGTGTTTATTTCTGTATACTTTTCTTAATTGTTCTATATTTTCTATTACAAATGTACATTACTTTTAAAACTAGAAAAAAAAGTTAAAATACTACAAAAAGATTTATAGATGATATCACTAAATTAATACCTTTTATTATGTAGGAATTCTATTTTTCCATTAAAGTAAGTGGACTGACTATAGCTTGATTGTTTTCCCTTAAACAGACATCTCTATTATCATGGCATTTGAGAGAGTAAATTTAACCCTTTAAAGCTAAAGTAAAGTTTACAAACAACTAGAGGACTGAACTTTTTTTTTCATCTAAATTCTAACAGTATTTTGTTTTTGAAAGACCTCCGGTTTCCACTTATAACAGCCAGTTTTGGGGGATTATAGTAAACTCCAGCTGCCAGAGAACAGTCCTTCTACTTAGAGAGAGCACCAAACAATAAATCTGAAAGATAGAAGCTTAGAAACCAAAAGAAGTTCATGCTAGTTAACTTTCTCTCACCAAATATTTCTCCTTCTGTTCTTTGCTCAGTCCAGAATTTCTTTTCTTCCTGAGTTCAGCAACCTTTTCCTTGTATCGCAGCTGCCTGTCTGATGGTGCCTAATAGGAAAAAAGGAGAAGAGTGGCAAGCTAGATAGAAAACTCATCCTGTAATTAGTTTCAAAATGAAAGTGACAACAAAATGGGGGGGGGGGGGGGTGTGCAGGAATGTCAGATGTGTTTCAACCACCATGTTAAAGTACTGGCAATTTTAAAATTCCAAATCGAGTGCCCTGTCAGTTAATATGAGTTCAGGGATGTACTTATTTTTATATGAACCCAAACAGAATATAAATGAAGGATGGAGGTCTCCACCAAAGCAAAAGGAATAAAATAAAGATCATTTCAATTCAATAAGCATTTAGTGACAGCTTACTGCTTTCCAAGTACTGACATAAAAATGTAAAACTGAGTGAGAATAGAACCAAAGATAGACTACAAATTTATAGAGTGCTTATCCCCAAGCACTGAGGATAGGTACGTCAGATGTATGATTTAGCTGACTGCCCTGCCAGGCAGGTATTAGTCACCCCTTTTTATTAACAAGAAAATGAAGTTTAGGGAAGTTAGCTGCCCTGTCCAAGACCACACTGCTAGAGTAAAAGAATCACAGTATTCAAATCCAGATGTTTGGCTCCTAAGCCAAATTTCTTCTCCCTCATCGCCATGCTTCCTCTGCTATCCACCTATAGCCTAACCTCAAAAACAGATTTCACATGATGAGCTATGTATATACAATATGTGACAAGGCCAAATAACATTCTGAGAACATTACAGTGGGAATGCATGAAGAAGAAACACATTAATGGTAGAAGTTAAGGGAAGAATTTCTACAATAGCTGAGAAATTGTACAAGGCCTTGAAGGGTAAATACAATTTCTTCTTGGTATAGAAATATAGAGTTTGGGCAGAAAACCAGCAAGAGTAAAGACCAATGGCATTCAGGGAGAAACAAGGAATTAAGTGTAATCAGTGGGTATGAATGTTCAGAAAAGCAGAAGGATTAGGGTAAAACGGCATCTTGGGATTCAAGGGGAGAGAGAATTAGAAGAAAAATGGCATCAGCAATCAATGTCAAATGCTGAGGAAAAGTCACTGGTGGTCTTGGAAACATTCTAGCAGAGTAGAAGCCTTTGAAGGTAAATTACAATCGGTTAAAAAGTAGATGCAAAATGAGGAAATAGAGCATCAGGTATAATCTTTCAAATAACCAGGATTATCTGTTGTTGTTGTTATTATTATTATAAATTGCATGCTTCCTTCATTTATGATGTGGAAGTGTTGGTTTCATGAAAATTTACTATTTGAAAAACAAATATGATTCTGAGTTTGACTGAAGACTAGTTATTTAGACACAATACCGTAGGAAACAAGAGGCATGGAATACCTAAAGACAGTCAGGGGCAGAGGATATCCAAAACTTGGCTCTCCAACTGGGAATGGCCAGAGCTTTAACAAGGCCCATACCTGATGCCTGGTTGCATGCCTGTTGTTGTCATCTTGCCTGTGGGACAGCATCCTTTCTTCTATCTGCTTATCCCGGCTCTGTGCTCTCACCTGCAACCATCAACAACGTCAATAAATCCACCTGCTTCTACAACTATGTTTACTGGACACAAACAATACAAGAACAAATCCCCTGAATTTATGTGGTACTTTTACTTTCAAAGGGTCTTCATATTTATTATCACAAAATCTGTAAGACATAGATCAGGCAAGCTTCCATTCCATTATCTCAGCCATTAACTGAAACAATTACAACTAAATCATGATAAACCTAAGAATTTAAAGTTTAATTGGTGACTCTGAGCCTGAACTCTTTCCACTGTACAATGAAAAAGAAACAGTGCAAAAACAGAATGAAGAAGTACAGAGAAAAAATGTTAGATACTGGGGTCAAGTCTATAAGGAAACTTAAAAATGTGGTTATGTTATCTTAGACAAATCACATCATCTTTCCAACAGTTTCAGTTTCATCTTCTGGTAAGTGAGGATTCACGTACAACTGCCTACTCAACTTCAACAAACTCAGCATGGTCAAAATAGAAGACTGACATTCTCCCACAGATCTGCTCCACCCAAATCTCCCCTACATCAATAAAGAGGGACACTCTCTAAACAAATGATTAGGTCAAAAACTATAATGTCATTCTTGATTCCTTTTCTCTCACACCTCACACTGAATCCATCAGCAAGCCTATTAGGCTGCTCCCCTCCAAAATATATCCAGAAACCAACCAATTTTTACTATCTTCACTGATAGAGCAATACCCCACACCACCACCTACTGCCTGAACTTCCAACTAGTCTATCCTGAGTCAACTCTTGGCCCCTCCAGTCCACTTTCCATACACTAGCAAGCTGTGATTCTTGAAAAGGGTTTATGGAATTACAACACGCCTTGGATAAAGCCTTCCAGGTGCATCCCACAGTCATCAGAATACAAATATACTCCTTGTGCCAAGACCTACAGGTCCTTTGGATCTGGATCCGGCTTCCTCATTTCCCATCATGCTCCAGTCACAGTGGCCAACTTTTGGTCCCTCAAAACCTAAGTTTGTTTCCACCTCACAACCTTTGTGCTTGCTCATCCCTGTACCTAAGATCTCTCATCCTAAATCTTGACACAACTGCCTATTTATCATCACCCATCACTCAGATCAGATGCCAACACCTCAAAAAGGGTTTCCTAAGGACCCAAGCAGTGCCACACCCCTTCGTCACCCCCAAAGCTGTCACTTTCCTTGTCTTTAGTCTTTTTGCTTCTCATATTGATCACTTTATCAAATTCTTATTTACTTAGTAATTTATATGTTGATTTGGCCTCCCACCATGAGAATGTAAACTCCTTGAATGCAGTAGCCTTTTATCTCCTTCACAGAATCCTTAGATACCAACAACAGTGTTTGGCACATGCAGTCACAGAAATCTAGGACTGAATAAAAATGGTCATGTCACTGAGAGCAATCATTTATCAGGAAACTTAAGAGTAATCATGTACATGCAAGTATTTGAAAAATGTTAAGAGCTTTTAATAAGTGTAAAGAATTAGTCTAATCTTTCCATTTGGGATTCTAAATATAATAAAAATACATGTATCTTTCAGAAATTCTCCTGATCTTCCAAGCACATGTTCCAGTGGTAAAGATGGATTATGCTGAGCCTGATTCCCCTTCAAAGAGGAAAAATTCAAGTAATGCTTTTCTTTCTTCAGAATTTTATTCCACAACTGAAATTTTTATTTTTTAAAAATAAACTGCTAAGGTAACATGCTCATATTGCTACAGACCAACAACCTTAAGTTATTGCTTAGGAAGACTTTTATGTAAAACCACTGACAGTATCAGATCGTTCTGTTTAGAAACAAGAGGTAGGGACAAGTCTCAAAAAACAGAGATCACAGCTGTTTTCAGAGAAAGAAGCACATAATGCCTTGTCAGCTTTGATACAGAAGTTGGTAGAGCTACTTCTGTTCTGTCTGACTTGGTCTCAGACTAATTGGAAGATAATGGGAAGACCTAGCACTTACTCTTACATAGAGCAGAAGAAACTGCCTTGGCTATACAAGAGAATTGGAATGAAAAAAACAAGTATCCTCAACCTTAAAATCCATGTAAGTCTTGGCAGTATACTATGTTGCTGAAAGAATGAACATATAAAGAAACTTTCCATCCTGTGGTCAACTTGTAAATGAGAGAAAAAATTCCTGCATCAGGGAGAAGTAATGTTAGCTGGGGAATCATCTTCTCAGGATGAAACTGCCTTAGACAGGAATAAACCTGTGATCCTGAACTTATTAACAAAATAACAACCACAAATCAATACTCCAGTTTAACCAGCTTGGATAACCTGTTCAAATAGTATCCAAGCAAACCATTTAATTAACAATTTTCTCAACTCTTGCTTCCCATAGTTTCCTGGTTCCATCCTTGGTAGCAACCCTCACAGAAACATATAAAATAGGATCTTAGGTTCTACTTCTAAATTCATTATGCTAAAATCCCAAAGGTTATTTACGACTACATTTTTCAAGAATTTAAAACAAGAATTAGCCAAGAGTAGATGTGATTGAGAGTAACAAAAAGGAAAACTATTCCACAGAAATAGAAAAAAAATTATGAAAACCTTTTTAGAAGCAAAATGTTTTCATAGATGTACAAGATGAGAGCCTAATGCATAAATATTGAGACCATATATTTATGCAAATCAGTACCTAATGAAAAAGGTCCCTAGAAGTCTTTGTAACTTTCAATGAATAACAGTGTATTAGAGGGTGATGTTCCAAATATTCCATAGATAATCGTGTCAATTTCTTTCAAAGCATTCATTACATACTAAAATGCTTTTATCTGTCTAATTAACTATTGTTTTTAAAAACACAGTTGTTTTATATGATATTTCCTCCACTAGAATTTAAAAGGGAGGACCTTGCCCATGTCCACACTGGATTTCCACTAGTTAGCAAAGTGAAAAGGTAAGCACTTGATAAGTACAAGTTGGATAAATGAGAACATAATTACCTTGCACTCGTCAGCTGAGAGGTTGTGATAGAGCGGGCATCCTGAGATGGAGAAATGTCTCTCATGTTTTCCTGTCAGATGTCCTGTTAAAGGAGGGGAAAACTTAATTTCAGAATAGAATACTTAGGCTTAGAGAATGCTGTTTTTCTCCATAGCAAACCTGTTTTTTTGCTGTCTAATTTTTATCAAATATATGTCTGATCAGACAGACTGAATTCAAAAAAGGGAAGCGCTCCTAAGGACCATGAGTTGCACCCCCAATAAATTCTTTCCTTCCACTGGTTGAATGTGGCAATATTTGAAGATACTTGTGTATGTTCAATATAAATTGTAATTCCTTCTGTTCTGATGAGGTATTTCTCAAATTCCAAAGTGTCATAAAGCCATACACTTATAATAAAGGCACAAAATCACCAGCGGGAATATTCTCTTTTGGCAGAATTTAATTTTCCTATGCTAAACTGACCAAGTCATAAGGTAACAAGTGTACTTCATATTATTGCAATTTTATCCTAACTGATGAACTTCTTTCAATAGTCAACAGAAACATAAAAACGAAGAAGGAAATGGCCTTTTCTATCATATAAGTAAATATATTTGGTAGTTTTGAACCAAATTAAATATATTTCTTATTTGGGTGGTGGGGCTGGTTTCATTTAAAGATTTAGGCTTCTTCCATAATCAAACTTTTAAACAGGCAGTTTGCATAAGGCCCTCTTATGAGGAGAAAATGTTAGGAATAACAATACAAAAAGGCTCATTTTACCTAAAGGGGCATCTCCTCATTTTTCTATTTTTCATGTGGTGAAAACAAACAGGGAATTGAAAATTATTTCCTTTTTAAACATCTCCTCAACCAAAATGTTTATAAAACACCTAAGATTGAGAGGGATGGTGAGATAATTCAAGTGGCATAATAAGATAAATTGGCTAAGTTAAATCACTGGTCTACAGATATCTTTACCTTTCTTTCATAAAAAAAAAAAAAAAAAAAAAAAAAAAAAAAAGACATTTAATTTTGAGTAAATGAGACACTGAAATTTAAAAAAATTATACTTCACTAGGACTTAGCCCCCTTAATGAGGTAGACCAGAGGGAAGTTTATTTTGACCTGGTTTTATTTTACTGGCAGAGTTTGAAATGTATGAACCTGAGCATCCAAAATTATTCTTGATCCTATTCTACTCTTTATCATAGGCAAAGCAATGGCATTAACTTAAAAAATTTTGGTATGGAAGTATTACGGGCACACTTACCTAGAGAGTTACAGCCTGGGGTAGGGCACTTCATATTGAAGTTATAGCTTTCATGGAAGCGACGGCGCTTGGGGCGATGAGAGAGATCGCTGCCTGAGTCTTTCAGGGACATGTCCTTGGCGATGCTCTCATCATGAGACACGTTGGGGCTGGAGATATCTATGTCAGACTCAGAAGAAGGCGCGTTTCCAGTTGGAGTCCGAGGTGGAGACTCATCATGATCAGCTGTATTTTTAGCTTCTAAAATAAAAGCAATTGGTAGAACTTGTGGAAAGGTTCATTTAGTTAGAGGTTTACTATTTACTGACCGCAAGAATATTCTAGTACCAGACTGTCCTCCGCAAGATATAAGAAAGGGATCAGGCAAACGGCATGGACGTAGCAGAAATTTTGCGAGTATTGGGCATCTATCTGCAGTAGCTCCAAGCCTTCCTTAGGAAGAAACTGAGCACCCCCTCTCTGGAATGGGTCCAAATCATGCCTTACCCACTCACCTCTATCTGAAAAGTCAACCACTTGCTCAGTTTCTGAGCCAGACGAACGAGTCTGCCGAAGTGGGTACTTTTTCGGAGTCACTGGGGTTGGCTGCTGCTGACTGCGGGTCACTCTCCTGGTAGAATAAACGGGCTCCTCAGCGCCAAAAGACTGCAAATTTCGAACAGGGCTGGAATCTGAAAAGATAATGTAATACTTAAAGAAAACACAAGGAAGTCTATTTCCCATCCATATGATTCATTAGCATGTAGGCCCTTCTCTTCATATTTCACAAATCCAACTAATCTTTAAAATATCTATTTTATTAAATAAAACGTAAGCAAAAGAGCCTCAGTCAGGCATAGAGATGAAATATTGTGTAGAATTAATAGTTTATGTTCCGGAATCACGGCTAAACATGATTGATTCAATTCCACTCTACCATACCAACTAGCTGTTAATCTCCAAAGCCTGTTTCCTTATCTTTAAAAAGGAAAATACTAGCAGCACTTTCTTCATGTTCATTGTGAGGAATAAGTGAGATAACTTAATGTAAAGGACTTAAGCGACACTCGGTACATAGATCCTAGTGCTTTATAAATAACAGTTGCATCCTCTCTTTCCTTACTCTGACCCACTGTAACAGATATTCTATTTCTAAAGATATAACAATATACAAATATTTCCTTTCCTTAGGGTCTCTTTTTTTCTTCCTAATTACCCTTTCTGAAACCCTGAAGAGAAATAATAGATTCATAAAGGGTAATGCGATAGTTGAGCTTTTAAAATTGTTTTGGATGGCAAAACTTATTCTGAAGCACCCAACAGTCTTCCTACATTTCCAAACTGATGACACTTAAAAAAGGAATGAAAGAAATTCAAACCTGAAATTAAAGCATATTTTAAACAAGGAGAAAATTGAAGTTCTCAAACTTTTGTGTAAATTAGCACACAACTAGGCTATCAGTTTGCACACCGCCAGGGGGCTGCATTGACAACGCAGTCTACGTTTTGCTTTAGAGAGGGCCGCCTTCCATAGACCACATTGTGAATGGTGTCCCAGAACTCGGTGGTCATGAAGTATAACCACCAGAAAGGACCCAGAGCTCATGTGCTTCTTAGCTGTTTTGGATACTTAAAACTTTTAGGTATTGGGAGCATGGCCAAGTAATACTTTCTAAGAACATTATGCCCTTCGCTTTAAATATACTGTTCCTTCTGCCTATAATAACACTTTACCATCTTTCAACTTGTAAATTCCAACTAGATCCTTTAAATTTCCATCTGGGAGTCCTCCCATCATCTGGCTGCTCCATTTCTTGGCTCCCATTGTAATCTACGCAAACCTCTCAGAGTCCTTACCACAATGCATGACAATGATCACTTTGCGTATCTAGATCTTGCACTAAACTGAGCAGTCCTTGAGGGCGGAAACTGATTCTTCCATCATGGCATTTCAGTTCATAGGGCAGAACCTGAATTATAGTAGCCATTTATCAATATTCCCATGTGCTAGAATAAAACTTAAAAATTGAGAAATCAAGAGACAAGAGCTATAATTCAGCTGAAATTTTAAATCAAAAAATAAAGTTAGGAACAGTTAAGAGACTATTCCCACTTTCTTGCTTGAAAAACTGGTGTTGTTCTCTCATGCTCACACAGCGGTAACCACATCAGCCCTATTTAAGTGCTCAAAGTATATTAATTTCCCCCTTAATATATTCTCACGTACTGATCATTAGCTTTCTGTATTAACTGCAACCTTCTTTCCTCCCCAGAGAATCCCAGAGCAGAGCCAAGAGGGGTCAGGGGTACCTTCCAAATCTAAGCAGCCCAGGTGGCTAACTGCACTGGAGAAACTTTTGACAGATACTCTATTCTCTATACCGAAACGAAATTTGGGGGTATTTACAACTGATTATTGACTCAACTATCTATATCTATTAATTGTATATCCAACTATATTATGGAATTAAACATGGTTTTAGAAGTATCGATTATTAAGTTTCTAGGTCTAAACCATTCTACCAGAAAGTGACATAATATTCCCATCCTCCTGATAGGAAAACTGTAATCTTAAAAGGTTAAATGATTCAAGACATTCATGTGCTGCACATCGATTATACCAGACATAGTTCTTTGGATCTAAAAGTTAGATGGCACCCCCAACAGAACCACACCATTTTGGTATTTTTTTGTTGAATGCTCTTTTTATTGTTGACATTATTACGGATGTCTCCCATTTCCCCCTTTGCCCACCTCCACCCAGGCCCCCAACGGAACCATTTTTAAAGACCTGATACTTCTGTTGTCGTTTGCTCTGATTTCCCCGGATGCCGTCACCTACAGCAAGCCACAGGACAGTTTCCACATGAACCAATGTGATGACCAGTCAGCAGGTTGTGAGACGTGGTCAGGGAGAAGGAAGCCTTTTACCTTGGGAACTCTGGCTGAGCCGGGCTGAGGAGCGGGTGACTCGGGCAGATCTCCGAGACGTGCCATCGCTCTCTGAACTGTCTGTGTGCTCGAGATCTGTAGAGAAATCGGAATCTTCGGTTCCATCTGAACTACTGCCTGCATTCCTCTGTAACACCATAGATCCAGACATTAGCACAGAAGCATTTATTCTGTGGGTTTGTATTAACACTGGAAATAAAACGAACCGTGATGCTGAAAACACGAAGTTCAAACCTAAGAAAGAATTCAACAGTCAACCACCCTTTATTTAGAACATTTAAATGAGCAACCTACAAATAATGTATCCTTATTGAATAAATGAAGAGAATTAATTTTTCCTATATTAGGATTAATTCTAAAACAAGTCCATTTGGAGGTCAGTATCATAAACTGGAACTAAAAGTATCCAACTCAAAATGGTCTGGCTGACATAATGGCCCTGCATTTATATATAAAGTCCAAGGCAGTTGACTCCATTTAACTTTAGGGAGCTTTTGTTCAAAGTCTCCATGAACAGCTAACACTTTTTTAAAAGCCATACACTAATTCAAAATATCATGGTCGATTCTAATCCTAAGAGAATTTACGGTAAGCAGAAAAAGAGTAAAAGTCTTCTTTCTTATATTATCTACCTTTGAAGCTTCTCCATATGAATATCAAAAGGGCTTAAAAAGGGGGGCAGTTTGCACAAGAAGACTTATAGGCATTCAGAAACAGAATTTTTATTCTCTTTTCAATTAATAATTATTTGTCAATTATTAGCCTCCAAAGGCATAATTAGCCATAAGGATTACTTTCATCAGTTGGGCATTAACACTATACATTTTTTACTAAACCAAAATGGGAAGAGCTTTTGCTAAAAAAACAAAAACAAAGACAATACAAAGCTTCACACTACAAGTCCCCTATTATTTATTCAAAACCGTTAGGGCCACTTGTGTTTAGAATTCACAATGTTTTAGATAAACAGACACATTATAACATATGTAAATAATCACACTAAAGAAGACTTGCAAAAACTGCAAGGAACCTCAGGAAGTTAGGACAGGTTTTGCCACCAAATAAGTAACAAATAACAAACTTACATGTTTAAGAGCTCTTTGTATTTGGGGAGACTGTGGACCTATTCCAAGGCATCAACACTATTCCTGCATTTGGCGAGCATTAACATATACACCTACCAATGTAGGTCATTTTAAGAGACATTTAAAAAATGCAAATATTTTATTTGAAAGTTTCTGTGAAGAGAAAAATTTCTGCAGAAATGAGCAAATACCACCCAGCTTTCCAAATAGTTCAAGGGTAATCTGACCAGAAATGAGCAGATGCCTCAGAATCACAGTAAATCAATAGGATGGGAGGGGAGGGAGGAGAATCAAAGGCCATCTGGTCCAGTTACCCAGATGCTGGAATCACTGATCATCTCTGACCATCCTTTCCTGGCTTGACTTCTTCTCTCTGGCTTTCTCTGATCTACTCCCATCCTACTCCAGAGCAGAATTACTTGCTCCCACACTTGCCTTCCATCACTTTGTATATATTCTTCTAGGTAGAGAATTTACTAGATCCCTCTACAGTTATTTATACGCCTGTTTTCTTGCCCCCCCTCCCATCAGATTTTTAAAGCCAGTGATTGTTTTTTTAAAAAAAATATATATTTTATTGATATTTTACAGAGAGAAGGAAGGGAGAGAGATAGAGAGCTAGAAACGTCGATGAGAGAGAAACATCGACCAGCTGCCTCTTGCACACCCCCTTATCGGGGATGTGCCCACAACCAATGTACATGCCCTTGACCAGAATCAAACCTGGGACCTTTCAGTCCACAGACCGACGCTCTACCACTGAGCCAAACCGGTGTTGAATCCCCAGCAACTAGCACATAGTGAGTAGTCAATAAAAATTTGCCCTGCGGTGTGGCTCAGTGGTTGAGTGTCGCCCTGTGAATCAGGAGGTCAAGGCTGGATCCCCAGTAGGGTTTGGGCCTGGGTCCCCAGCAGGAAGCGGCTAATCAATGATTCTCTCATCATTGGTGTTCCTCTCTCTCTTTCCCTTCCTCTCTGAAGTCAACAAAAATACATTTTTTAAAAACTGTTGAATTAGATTTGTTTTGTAATGCTGGCACAGCCATTGCCTAATTGAGTCGCTTGGGGCAGGTGTAAAAAGAAAGGATGGGGGTGATCTCCTTAGTCCCATGTAATTTTAGAAAGTTTCTAAATTCCTAGATATGCATTTTCTAGTCGCCGTCCAACTAAGCTAATACGGGGGGAAAAAAGAGGCTTGGATGCAATAGATCAGAGTGGGATCCCTTGGGAGTGGGCGCTGGTTCTCTATCACCCAGTCTCCGCTTTGTTGTGACCCCCGCCGGGAAAGGAAGGATGCTCCAAAACCCCGCCTCTCCACTTACAGCATTTCCAGCCCAGAGGGCGGGGATTCGTGCCACCCAATCGTAGCCCCGCTAAACCGCACCCCCCGCGGGACAGACTGCCTGCCTCGGCCAATCAAGAGAGGAGGGATCGTTCTCTACAGCCAATCGGGGAGCTGCGGGGGCCAGGCTCAGACAACTCCCCCGCACGCGGGGAGGTAACCGTCGGGCCCAAATGGGCGGTGTCACCAGCCAATCAATATGCTGCTAGACGTTTCAGCCACCAATTAACGAGAAGAACGCCTCCGAGCCAGGCAAGCAGAGGGCGGGAATAGTTGCTAGCACAGGCCGAGGCCAGCGTCGGGCCCACATTTTTCTGTAGGATGTGGACCGGAGAGAGGGTTGGTGAGCTAGATTCGGGGGGGGTCGGGAAGTTGGAACCCAGAGGCTGTCTGTGGAGCGTGACCCACTGCGTCACGCTGCTCCATCGGCTTGTCCTCAGACACCCGCCATCCCTCCGGCCCCGTTCCTCTCACCTTCCTTCGCGGCATTGCCGTCGGCTGCGGCCCGACGGCTCCGATTCGGGCAGCGGCGGCAGCAGCGAGAGGAACGGTAGCTCCGGCGGGCTCCGTGGCGGCCTCTGTAGCAGTCCCAATGCCTGCGGACGATCGCAAGTGCCTCCTGCTTCCCAGCGTCCACAGCCTTCTGCGCAGGCGCCGCGGGCTGAAGCGCTTTTTCCTTCACTTCCGGCTGGGGCCCGCGTCATCTGACGCGATGGGCCCGCTGGGGTCCTGGGAGCTTCGCTGCTTCTGGTGAGGCTGGCGAGCGCCATCTTGGAACTGGGCGCCAAGTCACAAACCGGGGCCGGCCATTTTTCTTTAGGGGAATGGCACCCTTTTGTGTGGGCGTGGGTAGCCATTCTTGTTTGGGGCAGAAGCCTTGGCAGTTGAAGGTAATGGCTCTCATCTTTACCTTGGGCAAAATTTCCTTTCCCGGTAGCTTTCATTTCTGAAGTCGAGGAAGGGACACCCCCACCCAGAATTCATCAGGTTGTTGATATTTAACCCCTTGTTGGCCTGACTGGCTAAAGGACGTTTCCGTTTATCCTATAAACTCGAAATTTGAGAAGGGATACTTTGCAGGGGAAAAATTTTTTTTTTTTTTTTTTTTTTTTTTTTTTTTTTTTTAAAGAGCCATCCTGTGTCTCAAAGTGGTGGGCATGGAGGCTTTGTAAAAGAAACGGAAGGGCAGCGCCCATAATCGGGAAGTTTCCTGTCTCGTAAAGGAGACATTGTCCTTGCCTTGAGCGAACTGCGAGCCAGTGAAGTCATTCAGGTCGCGGGGAGCAGGCGGCACCATGTCATTCCCCAGGAGAATCCCCAGTTTAGCTTTGTGGTGAGCACCCACCTGCTGCCCCCATCCTGTATGTGTTTCAGAGGCCTGGGTGAGGTGGGATGAGGTGCCGTATCAGAATCGGAGAAGCAATGAGCCCCACTTGAACCCAAAGTGACCCCTGGAAATCAGAAGCTTGAGCCAGGAGTTGGGGGAAGGAGTAAGAAGAAGGAATCTCTGAAGCTGGAGCTAAAAAAAAAAAAAAAAAAAAAAAAAAAAAAAAAAAAAGATGGATGTTTAAATAATAGGGCCTGCTATGAGAGGGGCAAAGAAGAAGTTGATTAAGGTTATAGGGCTGGAAGAAGAGCCATAGAGAAGGCTGGGAAGTGAGAGCAGGCATCGAGGATTTAAACGCGCTGGAGGAAAATCCTTGAGAGGACACAAGCTTGGCCGAGAGTGATTGGGCAGAATGTAGGCAAGCTCAGTCTTTAACTTAGGAACTTGGACCCCAGTTTCCCCCGAGGCCAACTAAAGTGGAGGTTTCCCCCAGATGCAGAGCTAAAGAACCTTGCAACAAGGGAAACATCTCACTGATGAGCTAAACAGAGGACTCTAAAGAGTTAAAGTTCCAGACCCTTAGCCAGCCCTCTCCTTGGGGACGTCCTGGGCCAGTATTAACATGGGCAGCTTTTAATATTTAGCTTTTAGTGTTATTCAATAAATACCTTTTTGAATAACCTACTTAGGTTGAACTGCACATAAAAACTTATATGGAAAGGGGCTCCTTGAAGAATAGCCCTAGCACTTAAGCATTTAATTTCATACTATTACTGTTATTTTACACTTACTGGTGTTTTGTTTTGTTTTTTTTTTTAAATATATTTTATTGATTTTTTATAGAGAATAAGGGAGAAGGATAGAGAGTTAGAAACATTGATGAGAGAAACATCGATCAGCTGCCTCCTGCACACTCCCTACTGGGGATGTGCCTGCAACCAAGGTACATGCCCTTGACTGGAATCGAACCTGGGACCCTTGACACCACAGGCCGACACTCTATCCACTGAGCCAAACCAGTTAGAGCTACTGGTATGTTTGGAGGTTACTCTTGGATGTTGGACTCCCCAACTAGTGGTCAGGACCTCTTATGTTAAGAACACAGCTAAAAAAAAGAGGGGAAAGTTACAATTAATCAGTGATGAATAAAAGAGTTTAACCAACCCCCCCCCCAATAAAAAAGAACATAGCTCAATTCTTTCATGCCATCCTTAGTAGTGCCTAGACCATGTTCTACCCACAGTACATGCTTTCTAGTCAAGCGGAATGTGTTGCCTGATTTATAGTCTGAATGTACACCGCTCAAAGATGAAGTTAATATTTTAGAATAAAATATTGTCCTGACTTAGCCATTCATCATACAAATACCAGCATTACAAATGTTGTTCAACATTAATTCATCTCTTACACTGGATTTTCAAACACTGCAGCTAACACTAAAAGAGTTTACAATTCCGTTTAGACACGGTTCTTGTCCTTGGGAAGTGTAAACTCTGGCAGAAAGATGAAAAAAACTAACACCACTAGGATAGATATAGAATCCTAAGGAAAATGTGTACTTAAGATGAAAGTAGAATAGCGAGGTATATTTAGAATGGGCAAAGAGGGATCCCGAGACGTTTTACTTTCTTTTTTGAACCAACATGTTTACTTTGAGTGTCATTTTCATCATGACTCAATTAGCTCTTGAAGCAGGAACTGATGTTGGTTTCCAAGCCCTTGAACAGTTGCCCTCCTGCCCATCCTCATCTGCCAGACTTCACAAAGGTAGCTCTGCTGTTCTTACCTCCTTGATACATCTAGTCTTCTTAAAAATTTACCTTCTTCAGAAAGTCCTGATTTAGTATTTCTGAGGTAGTAGGGCATAGTGGTATGTTATTTTGCATTTACTGCTATACTCACACTCTTTCTTATACAATTTGATAGCTGTTCCCCTCTCTCCTTCCCAAACAATGGGAACACATAACTCCTATTAATCAAAGGATTTGAATTTTAAATCTATCTACATTGCTCTTGCATAAGTTTTAAAATTTATCTGTGCCTCGGTTTTTCTCATCTGTGTAGTAGAGACACTAATAGCCACCTCACAGGGTTGTAAGGATTAAAGGATAACCTCAATGCATTACAATGGTTGTCGTTACTGACATTCATAATTCTAGTCATCCTAGTCATGGCTGTAACATCTTAGTGTTTGTGAATGTATCTTTACGTGGTCTCAGTAAGTTATTTGTTCTTGTCTGTTCACCCTCACTTCTGCTCAAGAGACAGAATGATTACCCAGGCACTATATACCAAACACAGTGTCACACCTATATGGAGAAGACACTGTGTTTCCCCAGGCCAGTAAGGTCATCGTTCTTAAAATACCAATGGGAAAATAGAAGGATGGGCAAAGTTCAGAAGTGGCACAGAGGAGGAAGTGGGGTGTTTTATCTGGAGAATTTAGGAAGGAATTTATAGAATAGGTTAAATAAGAATGGAATTTCACGGGACAAAAAAGTTGGCCAGTGGACAAAGAGAATAAGGCTTTCCATGCGAAAGGAACAGTGTGTGTAAAAGTGTAGAGGTATGGAGCAGCATTATGTACAGGGTGACTTACGGCATGATGGTAAGGGTGGCTGCCTAAACAAGAGCCAAGAATGGTTAGGGAACCAGTTCATGCAGAGCCCTGCACACCCTGCTAAGGACCTGGGCTGGAAGTAATGGGAGATGTCTGAAGGACGTTAAGCAGGGAAGTCCAGGGATCAAATTTGCACTTGAAAGACCTCTGGAAGTTGTGTGTGTGTGTGTGGGGGGGGGGGGGGATGAGCAGAGTGGCAGGGAGACCCACAGCAGGAAGACAGTTATAACAATGCTGTAATAATCTTACCCAGAATTGAAGAACTGAATAGGGCAGGGTAGCCTTTTGAGTATGTCCTTGTTCATTTTCTTTCTTAGAACTGTATCTTATCAGCTATATTTGTGAATTCCCTAAAAGAATCCTCAATTTTCTTTAAAATGTTTCCCTTGCCAGTAAAATGATAGGTACCAGATTTCAAATACAAAGTGTAGTTGTTCTGTGTTTGCTTCAAAGGCCCACGAGCTCCTGGAGGTTGGGAGCCTTGCTTGCCTGGCCACACTGTCTCTAGCTTCTCCCTTCCTGCCCGGCATCTAAAAGTGGGGTGGCCACTGCCAGGTGTTGGCTCAGTTAGGAAACTTAGCCATTCTCTCTCCTCTAAGCCTCTTTTTAAACCGGTGATGTGCCTAGAAGGGGTGAAGTACAGCAGTTTCCTCCGTGTGCAGATAACTGTCCTGTAGGGTGGGGAAGTGTGCCTTGACCCTTTAGGTGTTCCCCAAACTTTTGATATATGTGTACCCCTTCTATAATTTTCGTAACACTGAGTACCCTTCGTACTTACGAGAACGTAGAATTAGGAGCAGCTAAGCACGGTGCAGTGCATAACCCCACCAAACTCCGGTGCAATGTGTACCCCCACCAAACTCTTCCCGTACCCTTGGGGGTATGCGTACCACACTTTGGGAAACACTGCAGGACAACGTTAGTATAGCCAGGCCAATCTTATAACTTCTGAGGACAAGTATTGGCCTTTATCCCTTTGGGAGAATCTCAGAGGTTGCTAATGTGATCATCATTTGTATTAAAATTTTTTCACTTTTGAGCTGCCTTAAAAAATAGAGTCGCACAAACACTAATGGTCCTTCCTTGTTTACTCCTGCTGGAGATGGCCTGGAACTTCTCTTACCTGTTTGGACTCTTGTTCATTTGGTTCTTGTATCACCCTTTCCCACCACCTACTCCCAGCCCCACCCTGGGTGAAGGTATTGGACAGATCCCAGCAGGCTCAGGCACAGCTCCCCACCTCTGCAGCTGGGGTTATAAATAACCACCAAAATGAAACAGTCAAATTACAACATTTTGAAAATTGTTTTAAAAAAAAAATCACTGTTCCTGATTCAATAGCAGTTCTCATGCCCTTCATCTTCCCCTCTTCTTCCCCTTATCTACCTCCCTTCCCTGATCCAAGCTCCCTTGGGAAGTCAGTCTGAACACAAAGCTGTGCTATGATGAAGACATCTTTTTCCATATTTGACAGGGCCAAAGCCCTCCAGGGCTGTAGTTATAGTTACATGATGTTGTTATGGCAGCAGAGGCCTCAGGGCA